CAAGAGGATTAAGAGTGGGGAGGTCAGTTTAGAACGGGAATTCGTGCAACTGGTTGGAGATGTTGGGAGCGATATTGGGAAGGCAAAGGGAAACTATAAAGTTCGCATAGCAGAGCAGGCAGAGTCAAATCCTAAAGGGTTTTTTCAGTTATATCGAACTGGGACTGGGGAAAGGATGGGTCCATTGGGATCTGGGACGGGTCAAATTCCGGATGGTGACGGGGAGATGAGTGGTACTTTTAACAAATGTTTTATGTCTGTATTTACTAGGGAGGAACTTGGCAATGTGCCTTCAGCCGAAAAAAGTCTGTGGGTGGGGATGGGGACAGGTTAGCTAGTTTGGCAGTTGCCGGAGAGGATGTAGTTAAACAATTAGAGGGGCTAGAACCAGACAAGTCCCCAGGGCCGGATGAGGTGTTTGCCAGGGTGCTTGGAGAATGCAAAGAGGAGCTTTCCGAGCCGCTGTCTACCATATTTGATAGATCAGTAGAGTCAGGCAGAGTGCCAGAGTCGTGGAGGCTGGCTAGTGTGGTAACAGTTTTTAAGAAAGGAGATAGTTAACTTGCGTCGGGCTGTCGGCCAATTGGCCTAGCGTCTATTGTGGGAAAGTTACTTGAATCGGTAATTGCAAATACAGTTCGTCTCCGTCTTGGGAAACTTAAATTAATAAATAGGTCGCAACATGGTTTTACAAATGGCCGTTCATGTTCAACAAATTTGCTGACTTTTTATTCCAGCATGGTTGAGGCAGTTGATGGTGGTGGGGATTGTGATGTTGTGTGCCTTGACTTTGGCAAAGCTTTTGATGCGGTGCCACATGGGAGGCTGGTTGGAGAAATGGAAGCTCATGGTGTTGGGGGTGCTATATTAACATGGATTGGGGCATGGCTGTTCCGGGGGAAGCAGAGAGTTGGTATAGGTGGGGTTGAGTCAGAGTGGGATGGTGTTGTTGGTGGAGTACCTCAGGGCTCTGTCCTGGGACCTCTGTTGTTTATAATATATATAAATGATTTAGATTCAGGTGTGAGTAGCAACATTTGCAAATTTGCCGATGATACGAAAATCGGTAGGGAAATTAATTCAGAGGAGTGACTCACTATCACTTCAAGTTGATCTAGATAGGGTTTTGAAATGGTGAAAGGATTGGCAAATGCAGTTTAATGCTGATAAATGTAACGTTCTGAGGCTAGGTAATGATGATAGTTACAAGATACGAGCTAGATGGTGTTGAGATTGCGAAGTCGGATTGCGAAAGGGATCTGGGAGTTATGATTAGTAAGAATTTAAAACAAAAGGATCAATGCATGAATGTTCGTAATAAGGCGAATAGGACACTGGGATTTATTAATCGAAGCGTTAGTAACAAGACACCTGGTGTGGTTCTTAAGCTATATCTTGCTCTGGTTAGGCCCCATTTAGATTATGCAGTTCAGTTTTGGTCGCCGTATTATAGAATGGATATAAATTCACTTGAACGTGTCCAACGTAGGATGACTAAGTTAATTCCCCAAATTAGAAATCTTTCATATGAAGAAAGATTAACAAAGCTTAAGTTGCATTCACTGGAAAGGCGAAGAGTTAGGGGTGACATGATAGAGGTTTACAAGTGGGTGAATGGACATAACAAAGGGGATATTAATAGGGTATTAAAAGTATCAACACAAGACAGAACACGAAACAATGGGTATAAATTGGATAAGTTTAGATTTAAGAAAGACTTGGGTAAATACTGGTTCAGTAACAGGGTTGTTGATTTGTGGAACCAATTGCCGCGTAACATTGTGGAGGTATGGTCCCTCGATTGTTTCAAGCGCGGGTTGGACAAGTATATGAGTGGGATTGGGTGGTTATAAATAGGAGCGGCCTCGTATGGGCCAATAGGCCTTCTGCAGTTGCCTTTGTTCTTATGTTCTTATGTAACGTGGTGGAGGTGGGGTTCCTCGATTGTTTCAAGCGCGGCTTGGACAAGTATATGAGTGGGATTGGGTGGTTATAGATAGGAGCTGCCTCGTATGGGCATATAGGCCTTCTGCAGTTTCCTTTGTTCTTATGTTCTTATAACTCCCAGATCCCTTCCGCATTCTCAACACCATCTAGCTCGTATCTTGTAACTCTATCATCATTACCTAGCCTCAAAACTTTACATTTATTAGCATTAAACTGCATCTCCCAGTCTTATGACCATTTTAAAACCCTATTTTGATCAACTTGAAGTGATAGCGAGTCTTCTTTCGTGTTAATTTCCCTACCGATTTTTGTATCATCTGCAAATTTGCAGATTTTGCTACTCATACCTGAATCTAAATCATTTATATATATTATAAACAACAGAGGTCCCAGGACAGAGCCCTGAGGTACTCCACTAACAACATTATTCCACTCTGACTTAACCCCATTTATACTAACTCTGTTTCCTTTGGAATTGCCATGCCCTTATCCAACTTAATATAGCACCCCCAATACCATGAGCTTCTTTTTTTTTTAATTAGTCTTTCATGTGGCACTGTATCAAAAGCTTTGTTAAAGTCAAGATACACATCACAATCCTTACCACTATCAACTGCCTCAACTATGCTGGAATAAAAAGTTAGCAAATTTGTTAAACATGATCAGCCATTTGTAAAACCATGTTGTGACTCATTTATTAATTTGTTTTTCAAGATGAAGACGAATTATATTTGCAATTATTGATTCAAGTAACTTTCCCACAATAGACGTTAGGCTAATTGGCCAATAGTTTGACGCAAGTGATCTATATACTTTCTTTAAAATTGGTACCACATTAGCTACCTTCCATGACTCTGGCACTCTGCCTGACTCTATTGATTTATTAAATATGGTAGACAGTGGCTCGGAAAGCTCCTCTTTGCATTCTTTAAGCACCCTGGCAAACACTTCATCCGGCCCTGGGGATTTGTTTGGTTTGAGTTTTTCTAATTGTTTAATTACATCCTCCATGGTAACTGCTAAACTAGTCAACCTGTCCTCATCCCCACCCACATAGACTTGTTCGGCTGACGGCATATTGTTAAGTTCTTCTTTAGTAAATACAGATATAAAATATTTGTTAAAAATACTACTCATCTCCTTGTCATTATCTGTTATTTGACCTGTCTCAGTTTTTAATGGACCTAACCTTTCCCTAGTCTTAGTTCGATATAACTGAAAAAAAACCTTTACGATTTGACTTTGCTTGCTCTGCTATGCGAACTTTACAGTTTCTTTTTGCTTTCCTAATCTCTTTTTTTAACATTTCTAACCATTTCTAACCACACTACACCTTCACCTTCCTGGCCACACTTCACCTTCACCTTCCTGGCCACACTTCACCTTCCTGGCCACACTTCACCTTCCTGGCCACACTTCACCTTCCTGGCCACACTTCACCTTCCTGGCCACACTTCACCTTCCTGGCCACACTTCACCTTCCTGGCCACACTTCACCTTCCTGGCCACACTTCACCTTCCTGGCCACACTTCACCTTCCTGGCCACACTTCACCTTCCTGGCCACACTTCACCTTCCTGGCCACACTTCACCTTCCTGGCCACACTTCACCTTCCTGGCCACACTCCACCTTCACCTTCCTGGCCACACTCCACCTTCACCTTCCTGGCCACACTCCACCTTCACCTTCCTGGCTACACTCCACCTTCACCTTCCTGGCCACACTTCACCTCCCTGGCCACACTCCACCTTCCTGGCCACACTCCACCTTCCTGGCCACACTCCACCTTCCTGGCCACACTCCACCTTCACCTTCCGTGCTACACTTCACCTTCCTTGCTACACTTCACCTTCCTGGCTACACTTCACCTTCCTGGCTACACTTCACCTTCACCTTCCTGGCTACACTTCACCTTCACCTTCCTGGCTACACTTCACCTTCACCTTCCTGGCTACACTTCACCTTCACCTTCCTGGCTACACTTCACCTTCATGGCTACCCTTCACCTTCCCCTTCCTGGCCACACTCCATTTATACAATCCTGGTTGTGGCACCAGTTTGGGCCTCTGACCTTCCCAGCGAATCAAGTAGTGCTCCGGGTTGATTGGCTTTTGTCCTATCATGACCGAATTTGTTAAGGCGAGCGACTGGGAAGCAGTAGAACGCTGGTTCAAGTGATTCCCAGACGCTGGTGGCATCACGAATGATGGAGTAGAAAGTTTAAAGTCGATTGTGACAATCGACTTGAGAATGATCCAGGACGGACCGAAAAGTTGTCGTCCCTTCACCTTCTAGTGTGTGGTCTGGTCAACATTCTTCAGCCACGTTATTGTGACTCATCGCCTGCACCTGTAGTAGAATTATGATCTTCCTGTCTAGAGATTCCTGAGTGAGAGATGAATGGTCATCAGAGCACCTGTCTATATATGGGGCCACTAGCAGGCTGGCTTACTCTAGAAGTCCTAGATTGTTCTATAGCACTATCCTGCTAGTTCCGTCTCCCCACCCTGATGAGGCTAGTGGAGTGTGCAAGATAGGCTTCCAACTTCTCCACGAAGGTCCAGCGTCGTGAGGATCGGTGGTGCATATTAAGGTTACAACACTGGTTGTGTGAAGGTGTGCTGAGGGTTCTGTAGTGCAGCAGGGCGCCAGTGTTGGTTTTACTACATGCTACCACATGTTTAAGGGCGCCTGACAGCTGGGTGGACAGCGCCTCAGATTCGTAGTCCTGAGGTTCCGGGTTCGATCTTCGGTGGAGGCGGAGACAAATGGGCAAAATGTTTTTCATCCTGATGCTCCTGTTACCTAGCAGTAAATAGGTACCTGGGAGTTAGACAGCTGCTATGGGCTGCTTCCTGGCGGGGTGGAGGCCTGATCGAGGATCGGGCCGCGGGGACACTAAGCCCCGAAATCATCTCAAGATAACCTTAAGATGCTGCAGTATGTAGCGCTTAAGGCCTGGCGAAAGGATGATGTTTTATTTATAAATCGTAATTCTATTTCTAATTGATCTCGTGCTTCATGTGGGTTTATGCTTCCCTTATTATGACAGGATAACATGTGCATAGTGCACCGTGTTCTAAAGTTGCTTTCTGCTGACACACAAGTGTTCAAGGAGATGAACGTTCATATGGTGCTCGACATGTCTGTTCTCTGCGTCCATGAAGACTATAGCGGTCGCGGCCTTGGGAGCAGGCTGATGGAGGTAAGCCTGTGATCAAAACATGCTGAATGTGCATGTATGCTGCTGTATGAAGGGGAATATTTCTTAAATTATCATCTTTTGCGATTGCTGTACAATTGTTTCTGCACGTAGGAAATAAATGCTTTAAAAACTCGTTATATACGACTTCACTGGATGTTTACAAGATTGTTTTATTTTTTAGAAATCGTTGTTGCTGGGCGAGGAGCAGGGATATGCCGTGGCATGTGTTATGTGCACTAACAGCCTGACGGAGAGGATCTGCGCGCGTTTTGGGTTTCAGACCGTGAAGACGCTTAACTTAATTTCTGTTGCTGAGGAGTTAAGCATTGATATCTCCCTCATACCTGGTGAAACAGACTTAAAAATGATCAAAACGTTTTCCAGCAAAACAGCCCATCTTCATTAATATCCTTAAAAACAGATACATATTGTAGCGAGTTAATCTTATACTCGCTCCATTATCTCATTATTTTAATAACATAACTAATTACAGAAGCTACAATCCTTTCCACAATTAAAGGTAATACTCTTCTCACCTTGTTGGAGGAAGCTGAGGTGTAATCACCATATAAGCAACAATTTGATGAATAGAAGACAGTTCAGTTTCCACAGTCAACAATGTAGCACTCGGCGTGTACAATCCTAATCGACCCAAGATGCTACAGCTTCCACAGAGAGCAGACTACGACCGCATCGAGCCGCCACACTCTCGCTCCCCGAGTTCAGACACTCACAATTCTCAATCGAGCCGCCACGCTCTCCCACATAGAGCTCCACGACTCCGGCCTCACTCAGCTCTCTGCTCTGCTCCAGGCTTCGTCTCAACGTCTACGACACTGCTGTATCCAGGACTACTAAATAAATATGAAACTCACTAAACACTGTGTATCTAATCAACCCAACAACGTAACATAATCGTACGTTACAATATAACGTGGATGATATATTCGCAAAATGATGTGTGATGGGCTGAAGTCCTATAAACCTCAATAGGGTTATTTATTCCACCACAGTTTGTTGCTGACAGCCCAAGAAGAATACCTGACCCAGGACTAAGGTGCGTGCTTAAATATGAGCACCAGGAGGCGGAGATCACAGGACAATGTTACAATGGTCACTCAGACATAATAATATTTCATGATATGAGGCCACAAAATACTCTGCGTTTCGTACATAACTTAAAATTTAGTTAATATTATTATTAGTTTTAAGTCTAAGTTGGAAGCACTTAATACTGTACGAGAAGCTAACATATTTGAATCATTAAAGAAATTCAGCAATAATATTGTTAATACCCAGTGATGCATAGATTACTCTATGGGCACATTAATGTAGCACTTTAATATTAACGCTTAAGGGGGAACTGCAGTCGCGCGACCATAAATATCTTAGCCCTTCATAGGCACTACGGGCTCACCATAGCCCGTGCTACTTGGAACTTTTTGTTCCTGGTAGCGAATCTTTAACAACAACTTTGCCACATAGAGGTTATGTAATGAGACTCTGCCGTCAATATAAAGGGAGGCTCAAAAGTCACTGAGCCACACTGCCAGGCTGTGGTAGGGTATCACTCTAACTCTTTTTTTTCAGGGATATTCCTGCGCGGACCCTAAGCCTCTGGCTGGTCCATTAAGTGTTGCTTGTTTCTGTTGTACGGAGTATGAGTATTTATGACTGTTGGGCGGAGTATGAGTATTTATGACTCGTATGATCGCTTCAATAAGATTTTGTCCCAGGTATTTAACAACTTCTTCTGCTCTGTTGAATCTAATTTGAAATCTTAATGAGTTTGTAAACCGTGCACTGTGTTAGATAATGTTCCAGTGGTCTGTTGGGCATTTCTCCACAGTGCTGACATTTCCTCTCATCTTCCGGAACCTGTAAGCCTATTTCCCATGCACATGGGTATCCAAGCCTGATGCGATGTAAATGTACTTCTGTTGCTCTACTGTTCCCTTTCATCAAACTAAGTGGTTCGTAGTTGGTTGAAGTCTTGTACCAACCCGCAGATCCTGATGTTGCAACTGCTGTGTTGTGGTCACTGTACATCTTTTGCATGGCTCTGTTTCTAATTACTTTCTTAATCTGTGATAGACTCTGTGGTATGTAAATGTCTACATTTCTTTTAGTTGCAAGTTTTGCAGCTTCGTCTACAATGTCAATTCCTATTAATCCCACATGACTTGGCACCCAGTTGATAAGTACCCGTCGGCCTTGTCGATTGAGTGTTTGCATTAATGATATGACATTTGTGATCAGATGTATGTTATCACGTATGTGTTCTTGTTGCAAGGTTTCAATGGCGGTTCGAGAATCTGTATGTATGATAACATGTTGTCGGTGTTCAGCAAGAGCACGTTCCAAAGCCTTTTGAATGGCTAGCATCTCTATTTGTAGAGTCGAACACCCATTTGAGAGCCTCCAACTATTTACAGAGTTTCCTGCTTTAACTGCAGCTCCGGTTTCTTGTCCCTGCTGCTCTTCTGATCCATCTGTGAAGTAAGTGAAGCTGTCGGATGCCATGTTTGCTTCTATATGCATCTGTGCAATGTTACGTAGCAGATGAGGATTTGTCTGGTTCTTTTTTCCTTCAAGAACCATAATCTTAGTCTGCTGGTGGAGATTCCCAAGGGGCTTGCATAATAAAGTCTGCAAGTATTTCGTCGACACCCTTCTCAGTGACTGTGCTTGTTATTTCGAATATATTGGTGTTTATCGCACAATGGGTCTACCTGTTACTATTGGAGGCTCTTCTGTCCAGGGTTAGTGCTCCAGAGATTATATCTTTAAGTGAACTGATTCTAGGTCTAGTCAATATCTTGGTCAGCATGCACGCAGCAATCCCTTTTACCCTTATTTCAATCGACGTTAGCTTGGTTTCTAGTCTTAGGTTCAGTATTTTAGTCTATCTACTGATGATTTAAGGATCATCTGTATCTACATCAGAAGCCTTCATGCCCATTTGGTCAAGTATACCATTGGGCTCAATGCATGTGACTATGTCCATGTAATTTTAAGAACCTGGAAGCTTCCAGAAGGAGCTAATAATAATATTAAAAAAAATTTGGACCAAAATAATAGCTTCCAGTGACGTAATTTCAAAGTCCTTAATAAAGGACAAATTGTACTATTAAGTACAGTCAATAATCTTTAAATCCACTAAGTATTTACCTTGTAAGTAAACTTTATCACACTAATCAGTCTAGACAATGACAATAATAAATCCATAATCATTGTAGGCACCCTGACCGTGAGGGAGGGAGGGAGGAAGCCGCCCACCTGGGGTAGTAACCGCCCAGATGTTGTTGTTATAGATTCAGCTACTCGTAACAAGTTCCAAGTAGCATGGGCTATGGTGAAGCCGTAATTTACCTGGTACAGGAGCGGGGCATGTAGTACGGGCAATGGTGAGCCCGTAGTGGACTCGCCTGGCACAGGAGCGGGGCTGTGCATGCTTTGACATTAATACCTTCATATATACATTGAGAGTTGTTAGGCAGCGAGGCAACACCTTAACAATTAGTGAGTTGATTACCTTCTTCAGTAACAACCTCTTTTATTTCTGAAAATTTATATAAATCTGAATATCTATATCTTGTGTATATAATTCTTTAGTATAACTCATCATACATTTAATTGCCATATTCATTAATGTTAATTTATCCAATTATTTTATTGCATATAATATTTTCTTTGCATATTGGCCATGCATTATACAATATATATTTACAAAATTTCTTGAACGATTGAATGCTCGCTGCTCGTTTAGCTTTGTTTATTAAACCTATAATGTAAATTATTTTACTTTATGGCCGAAACGCCTTGTATACTAGTGGCTTTTTAAATATGCATTATATGTAACAGCTAATTAACCACTATGGCACGTCATTCTGTGTATTTTTTAATGAAAGTAGTATTATTATAGCTTATCAAGAACTGTAACTTAGTTAAATAAATTTTGGGGTTCAGTTCTTGAGCCTATTATGTGCCTCTGTAACCTACTTCACTACCACCCACAAGATCGGTACAAGGTACACTACTGCCCAAATAGACTAAAACTAAAATTTATTAATACAAGATAATACAATCAATAGTAATAGCAAGAACACAATTTTTTTGTATAAAATTATATGAACCAGTGATCACAAACGAGGTTGGCAGTCATGTCCGTACCTCTATCAGACTGTACCTCTTCCTTCTTTTGATAATTACTTACTAAGTGGACGATTATACAAATAGCGACGTGATGGACAAATAGAAAGTAGAATTTAGAATGTTTTATAGAATCCGGAAAAAAATAAAAGTAAAACCCAAGCTTAAATATTGCTTGGCCTAGTATAGCTCTTATATGTACTATATTAGGCCTTAGCGTGTGTTAGGCCTAGGATGGTCATCTTGATATCTTGACATGATTTTGGGGCTTAGTGCCCGCGGCCCGGTCCTCGACCAGGCCTCCTTTTGTTACACATCCACAGGTAGCAGCTATCCCAGGTACCTATTTACTGCTAGGTAACAAGGGCATCAGGGTAAAAGAAACTGCCCCTTTGTTTGCGCCTCCACCGGGGATCGAACCCAGAACCTCAAAACTACGAATCCGAAGCGCTGTCCACTCAGCTGTCAGGCTCCATACTGGTTAGGTTACGTTTCATTGCAACAGAAAAACTTGTACAGTTTTTATAAAATTCGAGAATACAAAAGTCTACATTCTATTCGTCCGTCACATCCAAATTTCTACGATCGGCCACATCGTCACCATAAGTACTCTCATTTCTGGAGGATGGGCTGCCACTTCACACAACCCACGCGCCGAGATATGCAATCTCCCCACAACCTACTAACTCCATATATCACAGAACATAATAATAATATAACTTCCATGCAATTATAGCATAAATGAAACACACAAAGATTATTCTGTGCAACCTGGGACACGTGGATCGGACGTCTCACTGGAGCGACACGGTGGCGCCAAAAAAAGAATGACGTCACGAAACAGGCGGTACCGACGTGAAGAGCCTATTGGATGGTAATGTACTTAATACTGCTGCCTGGAATGATCATTTAGTGGGGTTAAATCAAATGTATGCACTGAAATGGCCTAGTTCGAATGTGAAATTGAAAAAGCGTAGTTTTGATAACATAAGGATTCGAGACAAAAGTCGTACTGTTATTGCATATTTGGAGCACCATTCAGAACTATGTGATACATATAACCTTAAAATTGATTTAAATCATGCACATAAATCATAATATTGTATTTCATTACTTACCATGCACATAAATCATATTGTATTTCATTGCTTACCATGCGCATAAATCATATTATTTTCATTACTTACCATGTACATAAATCATAATATTTCATTACTTCCCGCGTGCATAAACCAGAATATTTCATTACTTATCACATGCATAAACCAGAATATTCCATTACTTACTGCGCGCATAATAATTCATTACATACCATATACATAAATGATACTACTGTACTTACGGTACATAAGTAACTAGTTTTCTATGATAGCTTTACCTTTTAACTTTGTTGATAAATATTCCATATTTATGAACATGAAAATATAAAATTAATGCTGTATATAAACAGCATGAAAATATGCTGTTTATAAACAGCAACCAGAGAAATGTTGACCAGACCACACACTAGAAAGTGAAGAGACGACGACGTTATGGTCCGTCCTGGACCATTCTCAAGTCGATTGTGATTATTTATTTATTTATTTATATACAAATAGGTACATAATGGTCCAGGACGGACCGAAACGTCGTCGTCTCTTCACTTTCTAGTATGTATCACTTTCTAGTTTCTGCCCGAAACGCTGCGCGTACCAGTGGCTTTGCAAGAGTGCAATTACTGTACTATGCTATGTATTCTCACAAACCCATTGTACCTTCTTGTATATAAATAAATAAATAAAAATAAATAAATAAATAACTGTAGTTTGGTCAACATTTTTCAGCCACGTTGTGACTCCTCGTGTGCACTCAGCAACCAGAGAATAGCACTGTATTGATGTTACCAAATTAAACGCTCGCTTAGACACAAGATGATTTTTTTGTTAATACTTAATTTCACATTTTTCATTGTTATTAACCAAGAAAGTGGTGAGTAAACGTTTGTCTATAATTTCAAATAAATTACTGATATCGTACATGTTACTTTTTGTGATAAAAATTACTAGGTGGCAATAGGTGGACGGAGAGGGTTGCCTTCTACAGGCTGTTGGGACTGGTCTCCGGGTGTGAATGTTGCGGGGTCATTGTTGGGGTCCAGTTGGTACGCAGCCGCTGCTCCTGCTGGTGTGCTCCTGAGACCATAGTCTTCCTCACCAACTGCGCACCACATCTTTCCTGTTGGCGTTGTGGTCACACTGTTATAAAGCTGACGCTCGTCGACCGTGTTAGTTTATCGTGGTGAGTATTTACTCTTATGGTTAAAGAAAATCACAGTAAGGCCAGCACCAACGCACATAACTACTCATTTAAGATTAATACCAGCCTTGTTAATTATAATGTAACTATAACATGCAATGGGAACTCGTCCACGGCATATGACTAAGCTGCGCCCAATTCCTATTCTATTCTATGCGTTCCATAAATTTATAGAACTTATTTAGCCGAGCGGACAGCACACTGGACTTGTGATCCTGTGGTCCCGGGTTCGATCCCGGGCGCCGGCGAGAAACAATAGGCAGAGTTTCTTTCACCCTATGTCCCTGTTACCTAGCAGTAAAATAGGTACCTGGGTGTTAGTCAGCTGTCACGGGCTGCTTCCTGGGGGTGGAGGCCTGGTCGAGGACCGGGCCGCGGGGACACTAAAAAAAAGCCCCGAAATCATCTCAAGATAACCTAAATTTACGTGAGGTAGCCTTTATCTCTTAATGTCGTTGGTGGGACATGACGGAGTCTTGTCAACGACCCACTAAATGTTCCCAAGGGGTTTTCCAGCGGGATTTTAAATTAGTCATATCTATGTATTTATAGCTTCGGCGAGTAGCAGATTCTACAGGTATATTGCTGTGAAACAGCATCTCCTCTTTTGTCTAGCTTTCCTTAGCTGTTGACCCTTAATTGTATGTTAAAGAAGTGGGTTGGATTAATATTCTCCAGCTTGTTCAGTATATTAAAGATCTCTATGCGATCAGCCCAATCGTGTCTTGTAACTATTGGTCGAGTGTACAAATATACTAAGTTACGCACAAAAGTGTGTTGTATTATTTGAGTACTTAAAATGTAATTTGAAAGAGTGGTACACTAACTATTTAACCTAGCTATTCTAGGCCTAAATAAGCAATCCTAAGCCAGGATTACTTAGGGGAAATCAGCCCGTTCTCCTGTTTAGGTAATACTTAGTGATTAGGTTGACCATAAGCACATACCGACGTTCAACGCAATTAAAAAGTAGAAATCGGACATATTGAATTTGTACAGACCGGAAAAAAAAATTCTGGGAATATTTACGGTTTTTGTATTTTTTCGGATTATAAAGGGAATAGTACAAAACCTAATTTCTTAGTACGTCAGTGGTTTATACTATGGTACACATGGTTACTATTATATAAACAGAAGCTTCATCGAGGACGGGAAGCTGGTTACTTGCCATTTGTCCTGAAAAGGACATTAGTTTTGACAGGTAACCAAAGTATTTTGTAAAGCGGTGGGGAATAATAATTCCTTGACGGGCGTCAGGAATCCAGTGTGTATTCATACACGACTGGTTTTTATAAACGTTTTTATTGTAGTTTTGTGTAATTAGGTCTGCAGGTTTTTAGGTTCTGTTTGCGATTATTTGTATTTGAAGTACGTGGGTGAAGCTTTTATAGCGTTAAGACTCGATCAGAGGTCTTCAGTAAAGCAGTGTTGGAGAAATGTTCGAACGTCATCAGTTGCTCAGTTTAATTAGTGTAAACTGTTTTTAATTCATAAACAGGGTTTGACGACTGGATTAACGAGCATTTGTCATTGGTTGACGAGGACGAACTCGTTTATGCTAGATGCGTTTAGAATATAGAAATTGAGCGAATTTTGATTGAAGTTCATGTATTATCTGGGTTTTGTATGTGCAAATCTTCAACAACAACAGGCCAAATGCTCGTTAATCCAGCAGCCAAACCAGATCCAGCAATTTATGAACTAAGTTTACACACGAATTGCAACTGATGGCGTTCGAACATTTCTTGAACTGACGACCTCGGTTCGAATAGCAATGCAATGTTTCATCCACGTACTTCAAATACATACATTAACAATACATTAAGGATATGCTCCTCTGGATAACTGCTAGGTGATGTTTAGCGCCGGACAAAGTTGAGTCAGGCAAGACTTTTGTTGCTGCTTCCAGTTGGATTCGAGAGCACTTGGTGGTGGTGCTAGTAATCGCCTTTCGGTGTCTACAAGAAAGTGAGATTAGCTCTTTATGCCCCTGCCTACTAGCCTTATACCCGTTGCGTTGAAATTTAACTATTCTAACATTTGAATTTGGTTGAATCTGGTCTTAGTTGTTGGAGGTGGTTTAAATAACTTTCAGTACATTCCACTGAATGTACTGCTGACGTAACGTACAAATATTTCTATTAATCTGCTAAATTGCATTTCCAGCTTCCACCTATATCCTCTTGCCCTACTTTCTCTCTTTTAAAAGAGGCGGCTTTTTTCCAATTTGTCAATACCCCCTCAGTATCTTTTACTTTGCGATCATGTCCCGCTTCTTTCATCTCTAATGATGTGAGGTCTAGTTCACATAGCCTATCTTAATAGCTTTCCTTCTTAGCTCTGATACTAATCTTGTTGTATGCCTATGTACTTGAATTTTTATTTTATTCTTCACAAGGTGCCGATTCCATGTCAGTGCTGCATATTCCAATATTAATCTAATTTATCTAAATTGCCTTTTAAGTCCTTATTTAGGTTTTTAAACTTTCTAATATTTGCCAGCGTCCCATATGCCTTCGATGTTACCTAGTTTATGTGCCTCTGGAGATAGTTGAAATTATATATACTCACAAATTATTCTCTCCTACTGTAGTTGATTATCGTATCTACTACACACACTTTTCACCGTCTCTAAAACACACACACATTCATATGATGGGTTGCAAAACATAAACTAACCCTGTCAGGTGTGCAGCAATGTTGCCAAATGGTGCTATCGTTTGTGACAAAATAAGTATCCAGGGGACGCTGGATTTTTGGAGGAAAGAATGAAATACTGTTTTCCGGTGGGACGACACCGTGCTATGGCGGGTATTTAAGAGTGCGAACACTGGCTTGGCCCCCCTCCTAGCCTATCCTAACGTAAATAAGTTAAAATTTATTTTACAGAATATATATGTGTGGAGGTTGTATATGTCACTATGACGTAGTCATTTTATTGCTTATGTACGTTTTGGATCCTACTGGTTATATGGGGTTGTCTGTCATTTTGTATGACACATGTTTATTTATACAAATTATAAAAAAACATTTTTAATACGCAAGAAAAACATCAATTGTGACACTAGTTCTCCACATATCGGTTGCTTTAATTTAGAAACCGTACTTGTGGTCGGTCTCGAGGCCATTGTTGATGTGACGATGTGCATTGAATTTTGTAACCAGCTCAACACTGCAACTTACTTAGCCAAATGAATTGTGGGGTTCAGTCTGTGAGCCCATTATGTGCCTCTATAACACTTTCCACTACCGCCCACAGGATTGGTACGGGGTGCATAATAAATTAACTAAAAAAATAAAAAATAAAAAAGCTTAATGTGGCCATTTAGTTGCAAGAGTTGCTAATACAATTTAAGGCTGGAAGAAGTTTTTCATAGAGAATGGCTTGAGGCATTGCATTCCAATTAGAGAGATCTTGAACTATAAGTATTTTTAACAGAATTTCAACAAAGTGCGGAAGAAACGCCTGGCAACTATCTGGAGTTTTGTGCTCACAACACAACCGCGAGTGACGCAGACTCCTCTGGCCCAGCTGGCGCGGGAGGTGCAGACAACAGCGGTTATTGCGTTTCACGTGAGTTCTGTTTATATTTGTTTGGGTAACACCCCGAAAATTTGTCCAATATGTAGAGATTGTGGGTATGCACAAAATACCACAGCTTTAAGTATACACTAATAGGCTTAATGTTTTACATAACTGTTAGATCAGTTAATATTCCCTTAGTTTGTAATAGGTACGAAATGTATATTATGTACTGTATATTAAAACAATGTACTACATTGCCAGTCTCGTGTGGGGTAAATACTAGGATTTATAATGAGGGATTTAAATATATGAATACAAAATAAAGGGCATGCACTAAAAAATTAAGGCCTTAGCTGATACAAATGTGTCGTCCCGAGGAACTTTAAAAGAGAACGAAGTTCTCTTTAGGCTTGGTATGTACTAGCTCTGGATAGGTCTCCACCACCTTCTCACCTAAGTTGTTCCAACCGTCTACCACTCTGTTTGCGAAAGTGAAATTTCATATTTCTTCGGCATTTTTGTTTAGTCAGTTTAAATATATGACCTCTTGTTCTTGAAGTTCCAGGTCTCGGGAAATCTTCCCTATCGATTTTATAAACTCCTGTTACTATTTTGTATGTAGTGATCATATCGCCTCATTTTCTTCCGTCTTCTAGTTTTGGCATATTTAATGCATCTAACCTCTCCTCGTAGCTCTTGCCTTTCAGTTCTGGGAGCCACTTAGTAGAATGTCTTTGCCCCTTTTCCAGTTTGTTGATGTGCTTCTTAAGATATGGGCACCACACAACCGCTGCATATTCTAGCTTTGGCCTAACAAAAGTCGTGAACAATTTCTTTAGTATTTCGCCATCCATGTATTTAAAAACAATTCTGAAGTTAGAAAGCGTGGCATAGGCTCCTCACACAACGTTCTTTGTGGTCCTCAGGTGATAGTTTCTAACTAGAACCACCCCTAGATCTTTATCAGAATTCTTTAAAACTTTCTCACATAATTTATAGGTTGTGTGGGGTCTATTCTCCTATTCCACATTCCATAACATGGCATTTATTCACATTAAATTCCATTTGCCAAGTGGTGTTCCATATACTTATTTTGTTCAGGTCTTCATGAAGGGCATGACAATCATCCAAGTTTCTTATCCTTCCTATTATCTTGGCATCATATTGTGTGTACGAATAATATCCGCCAGTAGGCAGGAACTAGTAAGACGCACAGTGGAGGTACACCTACAGGGATTAGAAGGTAAGATTGAAGATTAAGCCACCCAAGAGGTGGCACGGGCATGAATACCCCGTAATAGAAGGCAAGGGGCCTGTAGTGGTTTCATAATGAAACTATAGTGTTTAGCACAACTATATTCTACCCACCTCAAGACTCCGCTCCAATATAGAAGCATCAAGAAATATGGACCAATAGGCTTTCTACAAACACTTCTATTCAATACCCATTGTTTGTGTTCTGTCTTGTGTTGATACTTTTAATACCCTATTAATATCCCCTCTTGTTCTGTCTTGTGTTAATGCCACATCACCCCTCCCACCTCACTCAAATGTAGATATAAAATCGGAGATACGTATGTTCAGTTGTGTATTTGTGAACTAAAGTCTTTGAAAATGTAATAAGTTTTACGAAACGCGCCCGTGTCGCGTCAGACTAGAAATAAAAATGAATTTTGGAGAATTGATTTTTAATTTACCTCCAACAGTGAAGCGTAATGTACGAAAGATTGAGAAAATTCGTGTTAGAATTATTAATCTTACTTTTTCGGTCATATTTAATAATATATGTCTACAGGAAAGACTGCTACCAAAATATACTAATATTATAGTGTATATAACTATATATATATATATATATATATATATATATATATATATATATATATATATATATATATATATATATATATATATATATATATATATATATGTCGTACCTAGTAGCCAGAATGCACTTCTCGGCCTACTTTGCAAGGCCCGATTTGCCTAATAAGCCAAGTTTTCCTGAATTAATATATTTTCTCAAATTTTTTCTTAGGGAATGATAAATCTACCTATTTCATTATGTATGAGGTCAATTTCTTTTATTTAAGTTAAAATTAACGTAGATATATGACCGAACCTAACCAACCCTACCTAACCTAACCTAACCTATCTTTATAGGTTACGTTAGGTTAGGTAGCCGAAAAAGTTAGGTTAGGTTAGGTTAGGTAGGTTAGGTAGTAGAAAAATGATTAATTCATGAAAACTTGGCTTATTAGGCAAATTGAGCCTTGCATAGTAGGCAGAGAAGTGCGTTCTGGCTACTAGGTACGACATATATATATATAATGTCGTACCTAGTAGCCAGAATGCACTTCTCGGCCTATTATGCAAGGCCCAATTTGCCTAATAAGCCAAGTTTTCCTGAATTAATATATTTTCTCTAATTTTTTTCTTTTGAAATGATAAAGCTACCCATTTCATTATGTATGAGGTCAATTTTTTTTTATTGGAGTTAAAATTAACGTAGATATAAGACCGAACCTAACCAACCCTACCTAACCTAATCTATCTTTATAGGTTGGGTTAGGTTAGGTAGCCGAAAAAGTTAGGTTTGGTTAGGTAGGTTAGGTAGTCGAAAAATAATTAATTCATGAAAACTTGGCTTATTAGGCAAATCGGGCCTTGCAAAGTAGGCTGAGAAGTGCGTTCTGGCTACTAGGTACGACATTATATATATATATATATATATATATATATATATATATATATATATATATATATATATATATATAATTTTTTTTTATATAGGAGGAGCGCGTGGGACTCTACATGATGGACTTGTCCAGCCACATTGAACTGTCCATGATGACTGCCGATGACTTTGAGGAGACTATGACCTTCCTGAGGGAGCAGTACGTCAACAGGAACCCTCTGGTAAGACGCGCCTCCGTCGCCCCTCACAACACCGTCTTAGTGCTGTATTAAAAAAAAAAATCAAAGTTTCGTATATTTAATCAAAAGTGATGCACTTTCATGCTTCTGGCCTGTGACGTAATTTGACTTTGAAACACCGAGAAGAGAGTAGAGTTTATTGGTTATAATCTTTTGCATGTAACAGTCTTGATTATATTTAGTGTTCTGGCCGGGGACTATACAGTGGTGCCCTCGCTCGCTCCCACCTTCACCTTATCTATACTTTCGCTGATTGATTGATGATTGATAAAGATTAAGCCACCCAAAAGGTGGCACGGGCATGAATAGCCCGTAAGTGGTGGCCCTTTTGAGCCATTACCAGTATCAATAGATGATACTGGAGATCTGTGGAGGTGCGACTGCACCCTGCGTGACGGGAGATGCCTCCCGTGTACTTTCGCTGTATCCATCTCCGTCTTGTCATTCCTTCGCCTCATAAGTGACCCCCCCCCCCCCCACAACCTTGCCCTCACCCCTATTCCTCCCCCCTCGTTATCTTTCCTCCAGAAGTATGCCTACCAACCCACTGTTCGGCTGTAATATTTTATAAAGCCTACACTGGCGAAGCTTTACCTTCAATAAACTCTACTTTCTCTTTTTATATATTGCAAAACACTCGTTTGAATAACAGAAACTACTTTAATTTAGTTTAAACGTTGATACATAAAATGTCACTATTTTTATCTTCTTCCCGCACTTATGTTTAAATCCAATGCACACAGCGCATAGCGTGTGGCGAGACAGTTCAGAAAACGTACCGAGAGCCGCTGATGACAGACGTCAGGAAGTGTTTGGCGTCAGGTCTGTCAGTCAGCGCACGGGACAAGACGTCTCAAACACTCGCTGGAATCTTTCTCAGTTTACCACAAGACGTGGACGAAACCTCTGAGGACGACGACGTTGAGACAGTAAGAAAATGACATGCATGGTCTTCCCTAGCCATTTTGGAGATATTTATAAGCCCATCATCACTCAGCAAAAATCAGCTATTAAAACTATAACAAACTCTGTCTTGAGACAACACAGCTCCCCTCTGTTTAAGTTCATTAACATGCTAAATATACATTCCACACATTCTCATGTGCTATTTACATGTACAAAATCTTGTTTCTAAATGCTCATCTTGATGTGAAACGTTTCCTTGATAGGTGAAATAGAACCCATGAGCACCACACCAGAATTAAATCTCTTTGATATCCCCAGAGTCGGGCTAAATCTGTGCCAACACTCCATGCAAATAATAGGAGCCAGTCTATGAAACTCACTCCCTAATGAATTAAAGAATTGTCCAACTTGTGCCTTATTCAAAAGTAAAAACTAAAAGTACCTAACTTCATCCCTACCTTACCTAACCTAAGCTAACCTAAACTAACATAACTAAGTCAATAATCCCCATTCTTTCCTACCTTGTGCTTCAAACTGACTTCCCAGTATTAGTACTTAAGACATATTTTTACCAGTGTAATCACATCTGTAACTTATATTGTAATTATATGTTGATACAAAATTATGTCGTGACGCTGAACCCCGGTTCATTCTGAACACAGCGATTACACAACACATAACACCTTGCCTCAGCAACCGTTACTACCACCGTGTACTCCTACACACACCAGACCCTTGAGGCGTACCACTAGGTTTGTACTGGAACACAATGAGTGAACATATGGAAGGTATTTAAAGGCCGTCGGGTTTTGTCATTTAATTACAAAGAATAGACTCTGACAAATAATAACATATTAACATACTCTATTAGGTAAATACATTTCCAATACCCATAGACCACTTGACCTCCGCGATCACCACCCACACTCGTAACTTCCGCCTAAGTCCCTAATACGGAATGATTACTACAACGCTCCACACCCGGTTAGTCTTACATTCAATACTCACATACTGCAGACTTAACTTGGTCACTAAGATCACATCAGGTTCTCGCATAGCTGTCTGCTACACTTCGCTGCTGCCGCAAACGGGAATCCAGAGGACTTCTCGGTTCAACTCCCACAATCAGACTAACTCCAGTCAGCCATGGCCTCAAACATTTCACCCCGCCTCTCAAGAAAGGTATAATCCGATTAACCTTATCCCTAGAGCGGTAACCTTGATCCTAGAAGCCTGACGAAGAATAATTCCTCTTTCCAGGAATTATTAATTTGGCTAAACAGCTTCGGTCTTAATCCATTGACCTTTCTTAGATATGTGATCCATAGTCTGTCTACTTAACATGTACTTCCAATCATTATTCGTTAAGTGTTGTAGTAATGATCCTCTAGCTAATAATTCCTACTAACTTGTGGATTACAACACCACTCCCCTCCTTAAACACGCATATGTCCCCATATGCATCATTGCAATGGTTCCATTAGTGCAAGGGCCTGGAGGATGCACCCACCATATGTGTACAACTAAAAAAATCATCCAATAAGTTCATCATACGCACGATGAAATAAATTAAAATTTTCCCCGACATGACTCACAACACTTCTCCAACATATACATTATATTCACATCATAGCATAGGTAGAATAGTCTGTAATAATTTTTCCCATCTCCAACAATGCACATATACCTAAACTGCTGACATATAATTACATACAAACATAACCATAAAATTACATGGACCAGAATGCTGGCACTTAAACAGAAATGACACTAGTCATTAATATACACACACACATATATCTAAGGTTCTTCATCCTTAGTAATAAGTTACTAACACTTTAACATCTTGCCCTGTACTGTTGACATAAGGGCTTACAATGGTCACACAATGTTTCACTGGCCTCCTCCACAATTGGCAACATCACTTCTCTTGTCTTCGTGTCCCATGGTTGCTAGGTCATAGATCCTCCATGACCCAGACAAAACCCAGGCTGTCCAGCCTGGTGAATGTTGTCAATGTCCCATCGTTGCTCTGAGCTAACGTGATCCTGGCCTCCAGAGCAACGGAGATTCCTACCCCAGGGTCATGTTCCCTTGGGTCTGTGCTGACGTCTCGTTCCAGGGCACCAACCCCAGAACGCTATAGATACCTCACAGCTCTCTGGTCATCCTTCCTTGCTGTGCTCACCACAGCTGTAGCACATTACTCTAGGACCATCTGCCCAGAGTGTGTCCACCTGTATTCACACCTTCCCGACCGCTTGTAACGGGGGGTGGGGGAAATAGCTCTATCTTGTCCATTATTCCACCCCCCAGTTAACTAACGAGGCCGGGGGAAACAGCTCTCTCTAGTCCGTTATCCCGTCCCCAGTTAGCTAACTATTCTAGAGCACCCTCCAGAGTTCCTAAGGCAACCTCTCTCGTTCAACACCTTGTAACCTAGGTATTCGACTACCTAGGTGCTAGGACTACAAGGTGCCGTCACTTGATCAGTTACCAGAAACTCTAGAGAGAACTCTAGAATACAGAATCACTGCCACAAACGTATAAGAGAAAACGAAAGGAAAGAAATGAATAGTGAAGTAATTAGTGAGGGTTTGGGGTGAGAGGGAGAGAGGTGGGAGGAGCGAGGAGGGTCCTTAGTTGAAAGTGAGAGTTTAGAGAGGGGTGGAGGGAGAGGTGTAGATAGGTAGAAGTAGAAGAGTAGATAGTAGACGTAGAAGAGTAGATAGTAGAAGACAAAATGCTGCCACCATCCATTCATGATCATTACATACAAGACAAGGAATGGAACTTGTCTGTATCAAAATATTCACCAAAGATGTCATCAAGAGATCATTATTAGTATGGTCCCATCTGTACCATGTATCAACTCCAAACATGCACTCATTTATCATGAACCCAGTAACCACAGAGGCTTTCTCAAATCCTCAACTCAAAGCTCTAGGGAACAAAGTTAAACACAATTTAAATAATAAATTCATAATTATATTTCACATGAAGTATCATAATTTAGCAATTCAATTAAAATGTTCCAGTTTAATATGCAAAGTGAGTCATCATCCAAGAATTCGAGAACCCTACAACTTGACTGCCCCTGATCATCACACAACACTTGTAAAACACGACAAGTCACCTCACTGTTCACTCACCGAGGACTGAGTCTAAGTTGAATAGAGAGGGGGGGGGGGGTTTGTAGTTGACGAGACTCCCGCCCTGCCGGCCGACAGCCTCCCGTCTGCTCTGCTCTCCTGACTGCCGTTCTGTCTGTTGTGTCTGTCAATGCTCCATGCTGGATAGCTCTCCGAGTTTATATTGGGGAACCTAGTAGCTAACTCCGCCCACAAGTAGATAGCCTCCGGCACTACCAAGCCACTCCTTAAACGTCGGCATGTTTGAAGGCTACCCGGCTCCAATTATACGCTTAGCGGAAGCAAGGTGAAATTATCATGATCTGACCTCAGGTCACTTGGGGTCATTAACGGTTAGAGGTGTGAGATCTCAGGCAGACAACTGGCGCCTCTCAGATCCTTGTCTGTGACTCGTGTACTCTATATATATTTTAAATAAACTAACCCAAACACTTTTACAGTGTTACATCTCCCCTTCTCCCCGAAAATAAAGTTTTTGCAACACTGCTAAAGCAAGCTAGCTGTGTGCGACAACTTTATTAACGAAAAGAATACATCCTAGCTAAACAAATATACATCATCCTACTCTAAAAAAATGAAATATATAGACAGACGTCCATTGTCTCTGGCTGGGCGACGTCACTGCTTGGTCTTGTAGATAATCCTGTACCACATTTCTTCAACACAACTGCCTCCGTCGCTTCTCCGTCGTTAACGCACAACAACCCTTGGTCAACCCGAAAGCCGTTACTACTTGAACTGCGCACAGGACCGTGGAATTCGGTTGTCCCAGCTGATCTGTAATTGGCCCTACGTCAGTCACCATGAGAGACGTATATTGGGGTTCTTCACAGCTATAGGGACTACAAGTTTCGAGACCTTCATATAGTTGCCAACAGTAGAAATCCCATCCTACTCTTCTTCCTCCCTGTTGCTCCAGCACGCCTCCTTCAGAGAGCTACTTCTGACAGCCACATCAAGTCCGCATGACACAGGAAGAATCACTCAACAGAGCAACATGCTTGTAGGAGGGGCGGCCAGTTAAGGCAAACGATCCTGTCTTGCAATTACGCTCCATGCAATGATGCTGATACCAGCAAGGGACATGAGGCATCGTGTCTCACTCAGCTTGTCTTATCTTCTTCTTTCTTCTTTCTTCTCTCTTCCTTCTTCTCTCTTCTTTCTTCTCTCTTCTTTCTTTCTCTCTTCCTCCTCCCATGGGTCTTAGACAAGCGACCTGGGGTCCATTGGGGTCTGTCCGTCCTGGGGTCCATCCTGGGTAGACCGATGTTGGTGGGACAGACTGGAGTCGTTGTTGCTCCTCTTCCATCATTACTGGGTCGTCTGGGGTCGTCTGCAGAACGACCTGGGGTCCATTGGGTAGACCAATGTTGACCGACCGAGAGGGCTGCATCTTGGGGTCCCCTGGGGTGGTGGTGGTGGTGGAGCCATGACCTCCAGGTAGGGGGCTGGTCGTCGAGGTGGTGATAAACGCCCGTGAGTGTGGTACACAGCAGCCGTCTCCCTCTTTTGTATATGCGTCGCGCCTCTCCTCTGGCTCCCACCTGTGGATGAACAGAAAGGCGACAATACCCGTGTTCCAACTTGTTGTGTGACCCTGTAGTTTGTATAGGGTTCACACAGTCCAATTATAAGCTCTCCTCCTGGCAACAACTACACTTAAATTTTAATAATCCAATTAACTCTGAATGATATTGACTTGGTGGAACATAAAACAGTAACAGAGTAAAGTTAGAGAAGAGAGAATAAGGTCATCACTACTTTTAACTTGTCACACAAAAAAAAATCAACACTAATAGACAAAACGCTAGCCTAACTTAACTGTACCGTTCCTAATCTTAAGTACATAATTAAACGTTACTCCCACCCTT